TAACAACACACTCAAATAGCCTACACAAGGGAATGACAGAATGCAAGTCATAAATAAATAGTACAGGGATCAAAAACAAGCAAACTGATATTCAAGCAGGCATATTTTATTCCAAACAATGGGACTCCATACATATATTTCCGTAAACTAGACGAAGTTTTCCAACTTCCTCAATTTCAGACAATTTTGAAGTGCATAATCAATAAAATCTAAACCAAATTAAAATAAACAACATGAGTTCCAAGTACACACAGCAGAAAAGGTTTATCTGATCTCATAACCTAACCAGGGACAACATTTATTCCATCAAAGGATACCAGTACAAGCATTCCCCTATATTATGTCCCAACATGAATATAATGCACTATAAGTCACCTTAAATCTTAAGACTGCTTAGCAATCTTGAACCACTCAGTATGATATGAACCAGGCATATCAACCCTCTCATAAGTATGAGCACCAAAGTAGTCCCTCTGAGCCTGAACCAAATTCGCGGGCACTCTCTCCCTTCTGTAAGTATCAAAATAAGCCAAACTTGCAGACATCCCAGGAGTACAAATACCCGCATTAATAGCAAGACAGATAACTCTACGCCAAGCTGCTTGCCGATCCATTATTTCCTTTGCAAACTCTGGGTCCACAAGAAGATTCGGAAGCTCAGCATTCCTATCATATGCTTTCTTGATTCGATCCAAGAAAATCGCTCTTATAATGCACCCACCCTTCCATATTCTTGCGAGCTCACCTAATTTGAGATCCCATCCTTTCTCTAAGCTTTTGGCTCTAATCAAATTCATGCCTTGCGCATAGCTGCAGATTTTTGCAGCGTAAAGAGCTTGCCTTACATCATCTATCAACTTTGCCTTGTCCACTGGCTCACTACTCAAGATGTCACTGACACCACCCGATTTGAAAACATTTGCAGCTTGAACTCTTTCTTCTTTAAGCCCGCTAAGGAATCTCGAATCCAAAGATGCTGCAATTGTTGGAGCAGCAATGGACAAGTCTGCTGCTTGTTGAACAGTCCATTTGCCAGTGCCTTTCATCCCCGTCTTGTCCAGGACTTTGTCCACCAAATAACCGTCTCCCTTATCATCTTTGATCCCAAAAATGTCAGCTGTGATCTCAATCAAGAAGCTAAGGAGTTCCCCTTTATTCCACTCAGAGAAAACCTGTTGCAACTCGTCATTAGAAAGCTTTCCGACGGATTTCAGTACATCATAAGCTTCAGCAATCAGCTGCATGTCTCCATACTCAATTCCGTTATGAACCATTTTCACAAAATTGCCTGAGCCTCCTTTGCCTATATAAGTGACACAAGGACCAGAGTCCGGAACTTGAGCAGCAACTTTGAGAAGAATGTCTTCAATGTACTTGTAAGCTTCGAATGATCCCCCTGGCATCATTGAAGGTCCATGACGAGCTCCCTCCTCTCCTCCAGAGACTCCCATTCCAAGATAAAGAAGGCCAAGCTCAGCCATGGCCTTCTCTCTTCTTTCAGTGTTCTCATACCACTCATTGCCCCCATCAATTATACAGTCGCCCTTTTCCATGTAGGCTGAGAGTGTTGCGATTGTTTGGTCCACAGGTGCACCGGCTTTTACGAGCATGATGATGACACGTGGCTTTTGGATTGAGTTGACAAAAGATTCAGGATCATGGAAACCGTAGAGAGGAAGGTTCCCTTCGAGCTTGGCTCGTTCTACTGTCTCATCAACTTTTGAGGTGGTTCGGTTGTAGACAGATATGGGAAATCCTTTCTCGGCGATGTTTAGGGCGAGATTTTGGCCCATGACGGCAAGACCAGCGAGCCCGATTCTTGTTTTTGCCATGTTTCACCTGGTTTGTAAGTATTATGACATTAGCTAGTGATTATTATATCATATTGGTTGAACATTTTCTGATTATCGATTACTAAGGTTAAATAAAAGCTAACAATTGAAATACGTGAAAGAAAACAAACAAGATGTGTGAAACGAGGTAGATTTCAGCCCACAAAAAAAAGAGAAAAAGAACTATATCTAACATAAGGGACTGCAAATACATTAAGGAAACAAACCTAAATCACAAGAAGAAGGAAATACAACAAAAGAAGAGTTTAGTAGAGTTTATATCAAATGCCGTAGAGTAAAGAAAATAACGCATTTGTCCAAGAAGAGATCAAAAGGGTTTAGAGATCAAACTTCTAGGCTCGATCATGAAGGAAAAAGCTATAAGGTCTGTTGAGGTGTTTCATTTGTCTCTACTTCTACGAAGCTTGTCAAGTATACCACATTTGCTGCTCATGGAACTCTTCAATAAACTGAGGTCTATAAAATTTAACCAATAAAATATACCTTATATCACAGAAGAATGGTTAGCAAAGATTAAATAAAAATGTTGTCCATAGTATCACTACGAACGTTTTTAGATGCAAATGGTAGAAATTTGCGCGTGAGTATATCATTATGCAAATGCATGTACATAAACTCACTGTTTTTTCATGGTTATATAACAATAAACAGTCCAGAAATAAACCCAAAAAAATTGTATAGGGCTTTAGTTAAAAATAATATGATGGTTCAAGGAGGGCTTTAGTTACCTACTGCAGAATAATTAAAACTTTTGATATCATACAATAAACCAATGATAACCGTTCTACCTTAAATCATAAGAAAACTTCTTGATCTCCTAAAGTGAATTTTTTAAGGCAACCAATTATTTGACAAGCACATTAAAGCAATGCATTTAACCTGTAATATAAATTCATTTACCCTCTAATATAACTGAGTATCTCTTTGAGGTTAACATTGTATGATAATGAAAATTACTACATGCCACTAAGTTCATTCATACAGAATTTAAATGTGCACAAAAGTTTGTACTTGGCCACAGACACATTGAAAATACACTATACTTTGTTCTTGCATGAATTGCTGGAATCACAAAGGCAGGACTTTATTATTTTATTGAGCAAGCAAATTGCAACATTACTAAGTTCATAATGTCAAGATCATGTTCAAAATTAAAATCCCCCCTAAGTCAACTTCGTTTCTTTTATGAAAATGAAGAATATTTCAAAAATCTGGTCCTTTGCCGGCTAAACTACTTAAATATAAAATACGCTATCCTTTGCCGGCTAAACTCCAAACTTCTTAACAAATAAGATAAAAATAAATAAAATAGACGTGTGACTCCCAAATGGACAGTGAATAGTTTCTAGAAACAAGCACATAATCTCGCCAACCACATTAACTGTTCTACCTTAAAACATAAGAAAACTCCTAAAGTAAATTCTTGAAGATAGTCAATTCTTTCACAAATACACTAAAGCAACTAATTTATCCCATAACATTATTGAGTATCTCTAAGAGGTTAATATATTAACTTGGATGGTAATGAAGATTACTACATACCACTAAGTTCATTCATATTTCATATGAAATTTTAAATGTGCAAGCACTCTTGTAAAACTTGGCCACAGCCACATTGAATATACACTACCTAGTGTTCTTGCATGAATTGCTAGAATTACAATGATAAAGACTTTATTATGCCACAAAGCAAGCAATTTGCCAATTCATGTAGTTCAATATGTCACCATTATTTTCAAAATCAAAACCTTTATTAAGTCAACTTCATTTTTTTAACGGAGAAGGTCTACAAAATTCTGAAACTTTGCGGGCTAAACTCCAAATTCCTTTTAACAAACAAAATAGCCGTGAAGTTGATTCCCAAAACGTAGAATGGATACCTCTTAAAAACAAGCACGTAATCGCAGTTCCCGTGCTGAAACTCGATGTCAGGACAAAAATTAAATACTGTATAGAGTATAAAAAAATGTATCCCAAAAGAGTTTACAACTTCCCATGGTAATTTTTAGAAACCACTCAAAGACAGAATTTACAGGAGTAGAGAAAGAATCTAAAGTCACAGCACGCATCATATTCAGATCGGCTAAATTACCATATTGGTATTTTTTGTAGACCACTATTACCAGTTTGGTATTTATTTTTTCTAGCTCCGGCGACCGTTTTGATACTTTTTCTTAGCCAAACGTGAGTTAAACCCAAAACTGCGCCGCTGATGAAAAAAAGGTGCGAAACCTCTTTGCTCCCGCATTTTCTGGAGGTCAAACCATGCCCTACACTTTTTTGTCCAAAAATTTACTTCCTTGTAGTGGGACTAAACATTTTTGCATAAAACTTGGCATAGTTATTATCCTTATACTAATGTGCCAAATAATCTTCTGGCACTTTCCTCGTGAATCTAAAATAGCACTAATAGCATCACCTGAGGGTTTTGCAGCTTTTTTTCATCAGCAGCGAAGTTTTAGGTCTAATCACAAATTTGGCCCAAAAAAATATCAAAATGCCGCTGGAGCTAGAAAAAATTTGCAAAATGGTAGAACGAGTGTACAAAGTACCTATTATGTAAGCCGATTCAGATCTAAACAACATTAAACAAACAAGCATCAAATTTTAATACGGACTAATTGACACAATCATCAAAAAAAAACATCTAAAAATAGCTATTTGGATATTTGAAAGGAAGAGTAATACACATAGAAATATCCCCGAAAATGCAACATCACAAGTACAACTTGTTCAATGAATAAGTGAAAGCCCAAGGCAGCAACAATCTTTTCCATTCTAAATAACTCAAGATTAGAATTTTTTTAACAGCAACCCATTTTTACCGATCATACTTAATCCCTCGATTACCCACAAAAAAATTACAAAAAACAAAAAACAAAAAAAAGGAGAAACCCAGAAGCCTAAACTCATTAAAAGATCCAAAAGTTGAAACTTTTTACCAAATCCCACTGCTATAAATCGTTCTATAAGTCACAATCCATTGAAGGAACAAGGATGCAGTTACAGAAATCTCGTAAACAAGAGAAGCCAACAAGGTGAAACTAATCATTTGGACGGAAAAGAACGATGGAGAGAGGAGAGAGAAAGGCCAGACCTTGAGATTTTCCTCGCGCGGTGAAGTAAAAAGTTTTCCTTCTTTTTTTTTAAGAGGGAATTTTTAATGGCGTCCCAAGATCTCCCTCTCCTCGTAGTTTATAGTTCAATTTTGTGATTTTTTTTAGTGGGTTAGTCAAAACAGGACAGCATTTAACTTTTTTAATTTAATTAAAAATATATTTTTATTCATAAACCCAAAATCATAACTTCTTTTATTTTACAACGCAGCTTGTGTAATTCCTGGTTGATGTTTTGCTATACTTTTGTCTAATTTGCTATATTTATATTTAAGTTACTAAATTTAGTGTCATTTCTATAATTTTTTTAATAACCATGTACAAAATCGATAAATTTTAAAAATAGATTTGATAATAATTACTTAACATTCTGTAGAAACCTTAGTAATAATTTTGAAAGTGAGTCAGTTTAAATCGTGATAGACTTTGGGTTTGGAAACAAAACCCCCGGTGAACCTATCCAACATTGATTTGGCCTCTGTGGTTGGTTGGGGGATCTTGATTTCTAAACGCCGCACCGAGAAAAGTGTTGTGGGGCCCACGGACACGCGAAAATGTTTGAACCGAGTTGTTTGGGTCCCTACGCACTAGTTTTCAGATAGTTTCCTCTTCATCGATGGAGAGTGCGTCCGAACAACGGAAAGAAAACACAAATTTGGGGAGCTCGAAATTTTCACCGTCTTTGTCACGGTGTACTTTCATGCATTTTCATCATTTGTAGAATAGGCTAATGATTAATGATACCCAGAGGTCGAGCGCATAAAAGTGACGAATCTTATTGTGGTTTCGAGCTAGAAGCATGATGATACGAGTATGTGTTAGAGTACACGCCAACAAGAACGACTCAAACGGAGAAGCAAAATACATCCAAAAGATCTTGGAATCACGGAATAAAACCAGCAAACACGAATTCAATCACAGTACTCACAGATATTACGTGGTTCACTCTTACGGAGCTACTCCACGGTGCAACGACGACGCCCAATTCATTTATATTCCTTTCGAGGTTACAAAGGAAAAAGATAAAAGGGAACACACTCTCTTGATCAAGATACTCTCTAAGAATTCTCACAAACTCTCTCTCAAGATCTCTCAATGATATTACTTATATCTATATCGTTCTCATTCTCTCTCTGCTACTGAGATGCTTTACAAATCAAACTTAGGGGGGTATTTATAAGTTTTCTCATATGGTAGGTGAATACTGTGGCAGGGATAGGTGAACACTAATTGGGGTTAGGTGAACACTGTAGCAGGGAGTAGGTGAGAAGGCTATCCACACAGCCTCAACGTTCTCAACGGTATGACCCCACGATCGTATGGTAGAAAGTGTTGGATAGCAGGTTCCTAATATGTTTCTTAATCTGTTTTGGTAACATGTTATTGGGATTCCTAATCTGTTTTGGTAACATGATTCCTAATATGTTTTGGTAACATGTTATTAGGATTCCTAATCTATTTTGATTTTGGTTTTAGAATTCCTAGTATGTTTTTAGTTTTAGGATTTCTATATAAATAGAACGTTTTGAAAGAGAGAAGAAAGTGAAAAAAGAGTCTTTTGAGCATATTGAGAGGGAGATATTGTGAGGGAGTTAAGATCTTTGGTTAGGGTTATATTTGAGTGATTGCGTGAGTTGTAACCCGTTGTATTTCTCTTCCATATAGTAAAATCTTCCCATCCTCTCCCCGTGGACGTAGGCAATTTGCCAAACCACGTAAATTCTTTGTGAGTGGTATGTGTTGTTCCTTTTTAGTGATTGCACTCGTGTTTGGTTTAGTTCTCTTCTCTCATCGCTCGCGAACTCGTTTGGTTGTCGAGCATGCTTCCGTACGGCACACAACAATTGGTATCAGAGCTCCAGATTAGAGATATTGGATGGAGGAAGATTCATTGTGGAAGCTTGGTTCTTGGAGTTTTAGGCTTCGGTGGAGATAGCGTTGCGGAGTTGCCGTTGGGATCTCACTTTCCTTGTGTGGTTAGGAGATCGTGTTGAAATCCTATCTAGGGTTCAGTTGGGTAATTTCTCAATTCTATCAAAGTTTGAATCTTTCTTTACAAATTGGAGTGGTTTGCAATGGGAAAAGAAGTTGGTGAAAGCAGCAAGACGATGGCGAGTACAGTTCAGGTTAGATTTCAAAACACTAAGATTAGTGTGGTGAAGTGTGATGGCAAAATTAATTTTGATTTGTGGATGAGCGACGTACATGATGCTCTCAATGCTCAAAATTTGGAAGAAACCATCATGGTCCATGAGAGAACACCGAAATACGATGAGGCGATATGGGACAAGATGAATAGGAACGTTTATGGGGTGATCAGGTCTTGTTTGGAACAAGAGCTAAAATACGATATGATTGGTGTGACATTTGCGATGAATATGTGGGAGATTCTTAACAACAAGTACCTTACGAAGAGTGTTGAGAATCGGTTGTACTTGCTACGAAGATTATTTAGATTTCAGATGTCCAGGGGCACCTCACTTGCGGATCATGTGAACAAGTATACAAAGTTGTTGTCGGACCTGGCAACGTGGATGAGAAGATAACGGACGAGTACAAGGCAATTATCTTGTTAGGTTCCTTACCTGATGAGGAGTATGATACATTCGTGCTCACTTTGTTGAACGGGAGATCTTCTATCACCTACAATGAAGTGACTAACGCATTGACAAACTATAATTTGAGGAGGAAGGATAAAGAGACTTCCCGAGATAGCACTTCAGGAGAGGCTTTGTCGACGAGAGGTAGAAGTCCATATCTGAGAGGTGATAATAGGAACATGTCAAAGTCAAGGGGCCACCACCAGTTAGCGAAGAACTAGTGCGCGTTTTGTAAGGAACAAGGACATTGGAAGAGAGATTGCCCAAAGCTCAAGGAGAAAGAAAATAGCAAGAAGAAGGGCCCGAAGGCTAATGAGGTGAACGTCGTGAGAGGTGATGATTCTGATGATTCATGTTTTCTCTATTGATTACTCCAGAGATGAACCATGTGGATGCATCTGATTAGATGCTTGATTCTAGTGCTACTTATTATGTGACTCCCCAGTAAGATTGGTTTGCATCGTTCGAGAAACTCGATAGGAACATGGTAGTCATAGAAAATGATCAATCATGTGGCATTTGTGGGATAAGTATCGTCAGGATTTAAATGCACGATGGAGTAGTTCGTAAATTGAATGAAGTGAGATTTATTCCTCAGTTGAAGAAGAATCTTATTTTAGTTGGAGCTTTAGAGGCGAAGGGATTCAAGGTGACCTTTGAGAATGCTGTAGCGAATGTTACTAAGGGATCTTTAGTGGTGATGAAGGAAGTCCGTAATAAAAATTTATATTATCTGAAGGGGAGTACAGAGATTGGCTAGGTAGCTTCAGCTATTTTAGAGGCGGACGCGAGCAGGCTTTGGCACTATAGGTTAGGGCACACAGGTGAAAAGTCACTACGGGCCTTGTGCAAGCAGGGACTATTGAGAGCCAAGAGTGGGAAAGTTGAATTCTGTGAGCACTACATTCTTGGCAAGAAGACAAAGGTGAAGTTCAAGACAACCATACACAGGACGACGGACATCTTGGACTACGTGCACACGGATGTTTGGGGTCCTACCAAGATGACATCACTTGGTGGTCGACATTGGTTTGTCATGTTTGTAGATGACTATTCTAGACGTTGTTGGGTGTACACCATGATGAAGAAGAGTGAAGTCCTAGAGATATTTGTGGAGTGGAAGAAAAGATTAGAACTCCAGACTAGGAGAAAGATCAAGACATTATGATTTGACAATGGCGGTGAGTATACTTCTGACCCCTTTCAGCAGATATGTTGAGACGAGGGCATAGAGAGACACTTCACAGTTAGTCACACACCGCAGCAGAATAGGATGGCAGAAAGGTTGAATCGGTCTTTACTAAAGAATGTCCGATGTTTATTATCATAGAGTGGTTTGAAGAAGATTTTTTTAGGTTGAGGCATTTTCTTATGTAAGCCACCTCATTAATAGACTGCCTTCATCTGCGATTGAGGGAAAAACCCCTATAGAGATGTGGTCGGGAGAGCCAACACGCGACTATGATCAGCTCAAGGTATTTGGGTGCCCTGCATTTTATCATGTGAGAACAGATAATTTAGAACCTCGAGCTCTGAAGATCATATTTGTGGGATTCAAGCGTGGTGTCAATGGATACAAGCTTTGGGATCCAATTGATAAGAAGATTGTGCTGAGTAGTGACGTCACATTCGATGAGGCTTCTATCTTAAAGCTTCCCAGCTCTCATCTGGTGGAGAGCATCCTGACAGAGGAGATATCACAGGTGGTGGAGATTGATGCAACTCCACAGAATTCAGATGAAACTATATCCATTAGAGTGCCGACTGAGGTGACGCCAGGCGAGCACATTGATGATTTGGAGGATATAAGTACAGTTGAGCAGGATCAGGGACCGACGGCTCAGATTCAGGATTTTATTGTAGTTTGGAGACAGAGAAGAGATATACGAATGCTAGCTAGGTATACAGACACAGTTGTTGCATATGCACTTCCGGTGGAGAGTGTCGATGAGATGGTTCCTACTACATTCAGAGAGGCCGAGCAGAGTTCGGAGGTTGATTTGTGGCAGGAGGCTATGCAGGAGGAGATGGAGTCTCCCTACAGGAATGACATATGGGAGCTTGTCGAGCTTTCAAATGGGCAGAAGGCTATTGGTTGTAAGTGGGTGTATATGAAGAAGGAGGGCATTGAGGGCACTCCGGTGAGATTCAAGGCTAGGTTGGTGATTCGGATCTTGCTAGCTTTGGTGGCACAGTATGAATTGGAATTGGATCAATTGGATGCATTTCTTCATGGTGATCTTGATGAAGGAATTGATATGACTCAGCAATTGGGGTTTCGAGCTGCAGAGGAGGAGAAGTTGGTTTGTACAAAGCCAGATTTATCACAGGTAGTGAGCATGGTTTCTAGATACATGCACTACCCAGGTCCGGATCATTGGAATGTTGTGAGATGGATTTTAAGGTACATTCGATGTACTCTTAACATTGGTTTGGTTTTTGAGCGGGACACTAGCGGTGGGCAGCTATGTATTAGATACGTAGATTCAGACTATGTTGCAGATTTGGATAAACGCCG